GATGATGATCACCGATGGTTAGCTACACTGAGTGATATGGCTGGGTGTCGCAAACAGTGGAGCTTGTGCATCTACTCATTATTCTCCTAACACCACTCTATATGAATTCTCCATTTCCTGCTTACATTTGCTTTCCATATTCCAATTTTCATTCGGATCTTTTATCCAAATGGGACAATAAAAGACAGCAACCAAAACCGACGCGCGAAAGTGCATAGTTAATGGTTGTATAAGCTGAACTGAACTGTAGATAGATATAGATGTGTGTGCATCAAAACAAGTTTTGCGCAAATCAGGTTTATTTTGGTCCCCGGAGCTGGAAATTTGAACCCGGTCACCACCATTCATCTTTCGTGGGAGGCAGCTTGATTGGTTATCTTTGGGCCCGGTAACTCGATTAACTTAGCGGGATTTGCGGTGGTTCGTCACTTCGTGTCCCGGGCCTCCGGGTTACCGGTTTCCATGACTGAACAACAGGTTACCGTGACTACCGGGTCTACTCCGTCTGTTGTTCATGGCACAAAATGGTAGAACTGGCATAAAAAAAACAAGATATTCGTCAAAACCAATGAATGTTACTGCAAGCTGGATAATCGAGCAAACAGAAATGCACTGAACTGGTTCCGAATCCCATTGAAGACACCTCGACGCGGATGCATTTCTAGATTGAGTTTCAGTTTCAGTTGGTACAACCAATAACCATGCACTTTTGTGCGCCGGTTTTGGCTGCTGTCTTTTGGATGCCCATTTGGATGAAGCAGTAGGAGAAAGAAAGGAAATGTTGAAAGTAAAATCGAATGGAAAGCAAAGAATATAAGAGTATATTTTTAAATGTATGAGAATAGCAAAGGATTTGCCTGTTTTAATTTGGGGAATTTCACCATTTACGAAGTAAGAGAAGCGGGAGGTAAAATGCACTGTACCTGGAGTCACCCACTGCTGCTGATCCGTTCAATGTTTTTACAACCATTGGTGATCATTTCTAACACATCGTGACCAAATGATGTTAGGAGTATTTCGAAAACTCGATGCGCCATGTGTTGTTTTATTGTGAATGTTATAGTGTTAATAACACAGCGATGTCGNATTCGCCGACGTTTCGGTTACCGTGGGTAATCTTTCTCAAGGCAGGTTTTACAATCTCTGCCTTGAGAAAGGTTACCCACGGTAACCGAAACGTCGGCAAATATAATTCTCTATCGACATCGCTGTGTTATTAACACTATAACATTCACAATTAATCAGACACCGTGCGCCAGTTCGAATTGATTTATTTTGGTTACTCACTGGGATAAAAAATAAACTGACGACACTCGATCAGGTCGAAACAGCTATATCATGCATGCTTATTAGCATTACAGTTCACGCGTCGTTTGTTCTGTCCTGGACACCATTCACCATATGATTATTAGTGAATCAGACTTCGATCTCNATCTCGTGCAACAGAACAACGAGGCTTTTTGACCGGATAAACGGTAATCATCACAAAACAATGAAGTTGAAAAATTATGGTGTTCTTTCTTGATAAGACATAAATGCTTTGTGTAACTCACTCAGAGAGTGTGTAACACCGATCGACAGCACGATGTTTCTGCGCTGGAAATCTTAATCAACAAAATTACTAGTCGTTAAAATATATAACCAGCTGTCCTTACCCGGGGTAATCATTTGCGCAAACAAATCCAAAACGAACCGCTTACCGTGTTGCTATTTTGAACCTGTATCACTTCGACAGGCTGTTGTTGTTGTTGTTGTTGTTGTTGTTGTGGTGGTGGTGGTGGTGGTGGTTGGAATATTGTCGTGCAGGGGGGCTGCATCGGTTGTCCGGTTTGATTCCATTCGGCCTGTTTTGATACTTCCGTTTCCGGATGACGTCGATGCACGTGAGCGGCTAAGAAAGATGCGTTCAGAAACGCTTTGGAACAGTACATGCAACGATGATACGTTTGTGGCCCGGAATCCATCAATTGTTGTTGAGCGAGAAGAAGCAGCCGACGACGATGACACTCACGTCGAACCACAGTCAGACGATTGGTTTTCGCGACTAATTGATCCTGTAATTGTGCGAAATTCTGCCAATCGACGGACAAGAAATGACAATTAAATGTTAATGGGGATATTAAAAGTGTCGAACGTGTGCAACACATTCTCGAGAGCTGACAATACATTCGACCTAAGCGTAGTATCAGTATCAGCGTAGAATCAGAATGTGCCTATCGGCATTCATTGTTTAGGTTCCGTATCCGAAAATAACTTGTTTTAGGGAGCAGTGCATTAAAAGTGTAAATATATACATGCTTGCAACCTCTCGTACCTTAACGCAATATACTAAAGTATATTGCGTTAATTGGTATATAGTTTAACATTTAAACTCTCCAAAGTTCATTACCGGGGAAAAACTAACTCATACAAGAAGGCATGATAATGACATTGGCCGATCATCAGGTACGTAATCACCCTAGTGACTGCTCGAAACGTAAACTCGCAGAGATTCATATCCTCATAATCTTCCCTTATATATTTGGTCCGTTACATTGAAAGTGACTGAACCTGAACACGAACACATTGTTATTCCTCATACAGATCTGTATAAAAGTACGAATTGGACGATGAGGTCTTCAAAAAAGACAGATTCACTTGCATATCGCGATTGGGTTAAAGTTGTCGGCTTATTTAGTGCAGCTCATGAAGTGTATTTTTCACAACACACACAGTTTATCATGCTAGTAGGCATAAGGCAGATGCCATAGGATGTGGTTGGTTGGTATGAGGATGACGCAAATAATTTCTATGTGAGGAATTCATGGGCAAATTTTCTACGGTAGATCAGTTTAGCAAAATCAAAACCAAATATTTAAACGGTGAATGTCTGGATGCCCGTGAAAAACCGCATGCGCTAATCCAAACATTCACCGTCTCAGTTGGTTGAGACATTCGCACAAGGTGATCAGTGTCGTCCGTGTAACTGGCTCATGAGTTACGGTGTACGTTCCCCACCCGAACGAAAGATTACGATTCGAATCCTGACAAGGAATCAAAATTAACACACTGCTGACATGTCCTAAACGGATCGGAACAGCTGTCCAGTGCTGTTTGTCAGTGATCACAAAGATTTCTTTCGCATGCAAATTATAACAAAATACGTCTCTTTTCACTATACTGCAATGAGTTGTCGGTTCATTATGCCAAATTTACTTCACACTTGGACGATTTCGTAACCGAGAAAATGAGAAAAGTTAACATGTTGTGAATGGCATTTGATGCAATACACAGACCCGCTGCGTTTGTCTACCACCAGAGTGAGTTTTCCACTGCAACCAAAACACAACTGGATCTTGCTGGGGTGGGCGGTGTAAATGAACTTCAAAGGAGTGAAATTTGTAAATAAGATTTATCACCAGCCTCATCCATTCGCTGTCACCTGATATTCTTTCTGTCATTTTGGAGACTGCAAACAGTTTAACCAGAAGCCAGACTGATTATGCTAGTTACATGCTGTTTGACTGTAGTCTGTTCTAGATTACGACAGTTTGACAAGAAAACCATTCATGCAAAATTCCCCAATCCCGTGTAATCAACGTAACCCGTCAAGTCTGGACAATGTCAGGTCAATTCCGAGTACTATTTTATTTATCTGCTTATTCACGGCGTTAGATTTTTGTGAATACAATCAGTTTCAGTTTGTACAACCATTAACCATGCACTATCGTGTGCCGGTTTTGGTTGCTGTCTTTCTGCTGCCCAATTGGATGAACATTAGGAGAAGGACAGGAAAGGTTGACAGTAAGATCAAAGAGAAAATTTAGAATTTCAGTGGGCTAATGTTAAAGAGAAATTAAGATGCACAAACGCCACTGTTTACGACACTCAGCTATATCAATCAGTGTAGCGAACCATCTTTAACCATTATCCCGAGGTCCCCAGCCTGGGAGCCTAACGGGACCTATGAGACCCAGACTCCTGGTTAGGGTTTTCATACCCTCATGCCAGGTCTTAGCTTGACCACTATTGGCTTCCACCCACTACTTGCCTCGGCAAACATCACTCGCCGTCGCAACCTATTAGGTGACATGCGTAGCACATGTCTCAACCAATGTAATCTATGGAGGTCGACTAGCTGCTACAGTGGACAACCGCGATTACCTAAAACTCTGTGCCTAACCTTAGCATCGCTCGTCCGGCTGCCCCACCAGATTCGTGCAATGTTGCGTAGACAGTGGTTTTTAAACACCGACGGTCTGTCTTTATCCTGTTTTCTTAATGGTCAAGTTTCTGCGCCGTATAGCAGAATTGGCCAAACTGGCTCAGCGTACACTCGGCCCTTAACAGACAACCAGATTTCGTGACGGCGCTACAGACCTCTCAAGTTGGCAAATGCTAACCGAGCCTTCTGTATGCGAGCTGACATTTCATCCGTGATGCGTCCATCGGTTAAAAATGTCCCTTGTTTTCTTCAATTCATTTATAACTCACTTCTCCTTTATTCCACCGATGCTGTGTGATTTTTCACACCTAACCTAGCAGGGTCTTATGTGGTTCGCCGCTCCAAGTATCGGAGCTTAGGTTACCGGTTTTCATCACTGAACAGTAGGTCTTCGTGACCATGGGGCACCCCTGTGTGCTGCTCATCACATAAGCGTGTGTAATAAACAAATTAATCCTTTCCCCCTCTTGACCCTATTCTATTGAGATGATCAATGAACTACCGTTATCTTCAAATCTGTAGTCGTTTTTCCATCATTTATCTTTTCTTAACATTCTTCCAGAACACGCTTCAGCGGCACCTCACTCCTTTTCTATTTTCATTCATTCCATTTTCAGGAGAGCAGTCGCCCTTATCAGATCTCTGGGTCCATAAGTAGCACTTTTATCGTCAAGCTCTCTTTTGCTCCAGGACTGGAAATTTGTGAAACATTTTTCATTTCCGCATTTCGAACCACTTTGATTTCCCTTTTCAAAAGCATGATCGATAAATTCGTTCTTTCCTACACTCTTACATGTGTTTAAATACGGGGTTACTCCATTTTGCTGTAAATCACTTTGTGGTAGAAGCCTACTCATCAATACCGACTCCGCTTGATGCAATGGGCAATGTACTCCGGAATGGTGTGCACGAAGGCCAGTGTAGTATGGTATCATTATGGTATGTGTTCATTGAAGCTTCATGGTTACTGCCGAAGAGCTGAATCACTAAGCTCGAAAACAAGTAGGGGTGGTGATGGCGTAGTGGTTTAGTCGTTGTCACCGGCGTGCTTTGGACCCTATGGTCTGAGGTTTGAGCCCCGCCACCGCCACCCGACTTTGGTGATAGGCAGCTCTGCTGTCGTCTGGTTCAATACCACGCTTAACCTTTCGGGTCCTCATGTAGTTCGCCACTCCAAGTTACTGGGCTTCGGTTGCCGGTTTACACCACTGAACAGCAGGTCTTCGTGACTATGGGGTTCACCTCGCCTGCTGTTTATCACACTTAGGCGTGTAATAACAAAAAATCAACCTACTGGTTAAGTTAAAGGGGAAGCCGATCTACTTGAATCGATTACTCCATCATTTTTACCGATTGAGGACAAATCGAGTAGAACCCTGGAGGATTAACAGAGTGGACTACGCCTGATTTTCACCCCTCAACCTTCAAGGTATGACTGGATCTTCGGCTTGACAAAAGCTCTGTAAC